TTTCAGGCTGGTAACCCTTAAACAATAACAATTAACCAGGAACAGAATGTGCTCCTTACTGTCATTATATCCCTATTCAAAAGAAAAGAAAATAAGAAAAAAAAGAAAAGAAAAAAAAATTGAGCTGGAGAAGATAGCCTGTTGAAAACAGAGAACAATAATTTTCACACTGGGAATATAATACAGATTATTTTTGTAAACTTTCTTCTCAAGCTCTTGTTTATTCACCTTTTTTCTAAGAGTATGTTATATAGATAAGCACTGTATCATGTAAGCTGCAATATGGCATAGATGCATATTTATAGGATTAATTTTCTATGACATTTTCTTTTTGCTTTCATGGATTCGGAAACAGTAGAGCTCATCCATCCTAAAATTGTATGCACCAGTATTCTTGTGACTTGCTTACTAGTCTAGAGCTAAAGCCCATATATCCAACAGCTTTTAATTATGTCACAACTATCTTGAGGAATATACCAGCTACACCTCAGCTTCTTAATTTTTTAGGTCTCTTCTTCCTGTGTCTATGCATACTTTTTCTTCTTGTTTCCTTCTTTTAGTCCAACACCATTGTGTATCATAATAACAGTTATCAAAATATGTCCTAGTGATGTTCTTCTAAAAGGAACTCTTCCAGTTTCTAAATGCATGTTGCTAACAACAAATTGCTGGTTAATAGGTTTAGCAAGAAAACAGGAATTCCCTGCCCTCAAGTAATATCAGGGTTTGAAATTTGTTTTTCCTGTGCTTCTTTTTATCTACCTCCAAATAAAGACGATGCAGCAACTGTTTGCCGCTGCTGATCTCTAACATGGAACTCATGGGTCCAATCTCTTGGAATGATTAGTTACATACTATACTGTATGTGTGTTTTTGGTCTACGATGCACACTGGACCAGAAGAATGCATATGTTAGGCCATGAAGTATGTGTCTACTGAGGACAAAATTCAGTCTGTTTTAGAGAATTGCTGTGTCTTGTTCTGGGACAACAGTATTGCCATCTGTGTTTAATCAGAAACTTGGCTTACTTCTCAGATTAAGAGAATGCCTTTAGAAGAACACTTTACACTATCTTAAGAATGAAGTGTTTTACTTACAATAGCATCCAAGTACTGTTATGATACTGTTATGATACTATGCTTTCCTGTGAACCTCTAACTTCAAGAAATATGCAGGAGCATTGAGACGCAGAAAAAAGGAGCGAGAATGTCTTTCCCACCCACTGATTAGAAAGAACTTTTGAATTATAGTTACAGAAACACAGTTTCTACAAGACATTCAATCACTAGGAACAGGATGTAATAGTTTAATTTAATTCATAAGTTTTTCTCTTGGACAGGAGCTCTTAAAAGCCTGCATTGTTAAAGTGTTAATGGAAATCCATAATGTCCAAATCTTTTCTTTCACAGACAAAGTTTGACTATCAGATGAGTCTTGAACCTATAAAGCAAACATGCTGTTCACCATTAAAACAGGACACCTGCAAAGTTCTTAAGAATGAGCCTTGTGGTGCACGCTTCGGGACTGCGATTGCTGCAGTGAAGGATCTGAACCTTGATGGATATAATGACATTGTAATAGGTTCTCCCTTAGAGGATGATCATCGGGGAGCTGTTTATATTTATCATGGCCATGGCAACACAATCAGTAAAAAATATTCACAGGTATGAAATAGATTGGCAGCCACTGTAAGTTTATGTAGCACAAATTCTGTTTTCCTATGTCTTACCAACATGGTATCAAACAATGACTTGACCTGTCATGACAGTTTCTTTTTTAAAATGCTCTGTACTTTTAAACTCATACCAATTTTTAGACTCTTAACATTGTTTGAAAATATATTTGCACGTTTTTATTAAAAACATTCTGAAATGTTCTGTACAGCCAGAAAAGAAGATATCTTGCATTCTGAAAATTTATAGTGTTCATCAACATAGCAACTGCATTAGGAGTATTGTAATGAAAATTAAATATATATAAATAGTGTAAAAGCCATCTAACTGCCAACAAATGTGTCTTGGATGTTCTTTTAAAATCCTTCAACATGTACTGCATAAACCTCTTAATGCTTTTCACAGCGTATTGCATCAGGTGGAGATGGGGAAAAAGTGAAATTTTTTGGCCAGTCCGTGCATGGAGAAATGGACTTAAACGATGACGGGCTGATTGATGTCACCATTGGAGGCCTTGGTGGCGCTGCCCTCTTCTGGTACGGATACTCACAGTAGCTGTCAGGCTAGAAAAGAACCATTTGTCTTGGGATAGAGTGTAACTTGCATTGACTACTGTTTGGACTGTTGTGAGGATACTGGTTTCATCTCATGCTTTGACACTGACTCTGAATCTTCATATTTTCATGTCTCTCTGAAGTAACTAGTATAAAACTTGATGGATAACAGTTACAAATATGGGAATGTTTTAGAAACCTTGTTAGTCTAGTATGATGACCTTGTCTTCCTATTCAGAATAAGGACTCACTCCATTTGTGGCATGAAGTAAAATAGAAAAAACCTAAGTTTCCTCTTATTTACACTATATTTTATATTATCTTATTAGCAATATCAAGGAGAAGTAGAAATGTAAAGGGGTTACTAAGAAAACTCATTTGACTTAATAATAAGAAAACTCTTGTTTGAGTTCCTACAGAAAATTTTGGAAAAAGTTAACTTACTTTCTGGTTAACAGTGAATTCATTTTCTTTACAAGAGACTGTGATTCAGATGGCATAATGATTTTTATTTTTTTTAAGGGAGAACAGAAAATTAACAGTAAGAGAAATAAACAAAGTAACAATTCCCCATTTCTAATGCACAACTAAAACTGTTTCTCTCTCTGTTAAGGAAATTGCTAAGATGGCTTCATGTTCTCCCTGTCCTGCTGTTTCACCTAACTCAGCTCATCAAGTTTGTCAGGTCTCGCTACCATTCTCAAGCTGCCGGTTTCTCCTCTCCTTCATCTGGTAGTCTCTCTTTCTAGAAGCTGTGTGTGTGAATGCAATGAGATGCCTCTGCACTGCATTGTTTAGATCACAAATCTGAAGAAAGCTGTTTTGCCAGCTAAATTTGCTGCTGGTTTAGAACAGCATCATACTCCATCTCAGGGCCAAAAAGGAACTGAGCTAGAGCAAAGGCAGA